GAGAGAGAGAGAGAGAGAGAGAGAGAGAGAGAGAGCGATAGACAAAGAGAAAGAAAGAGAGAAAGAGAGAGAGAAAGAAAGAGATAAAGAAAAAAATAGAGATAGACAGAGAGAGAGAGAGAGAGAAAAAGACAATAAAAAAGACAGAAACAAAAAAGATTATAATATTATATTAGAACAGAATTCATATGCGATTTTATCGTATGAAATTCGTGATCCAATTAATGGTTTTTCTATTTTCATTTTTTCTTTTACGACAATACGAGTAAACGTCGCATATGAAGAAAGAGGGGGGACGAGGAAAAAAAAAAAAAAAAAAAAAAAAAAACATATAATCGGTAAAAAGATAGAGCCACAATGAAAAAACACTATGCAAGTGTTTCTCTCTAAACTGTTATAAATACAACGCTTACGTAATTATATCTCGATAAATCACCGCCAATTTTTGTTAACTATTTTTTTTTCTCCCCACTTTGGAATTTATATCCCAAATGTAGTAAAGAATGTTTTGCACATTGATTTTCTATCCCATTAAGGCTTTTTCCCTATCGTTTCAAGCATCATAATATTTGATTCTTGCAACGATACGACGCGCGCCTATTATATATATATATAATCAATTGTTTTCGAGATTTCTTTTACAATCAACGAGTTTCTCAAATCACATTCGTTCTCAAACTGGCAAAAAAGTGTAAATCGATTGACAATGCTGTTGCACGTTGGTACGCGCTTTTACAGGCATGTTTCCAATATTGAAACGTCGTACGTATCAAATTATAATTTGTGTCAGCACGGAAAAACGGTTTTAAATGCGTTTAATACCATAATACTAAATCACAGCATTAATGCTCGGATAGCGGACACAAGAGAGGAACTTTAATACGTCAGATAATTAATAATTTTTTTTCACAGCATATCATTTGTTCTTTTTTTTTTTTTTTTTTTTTAAATAGAATAGAATTATATAAAATATTTTTGTGCAAAACCCACATTAATTCGTATACTAAAAACATACTTGGTGGGTAATAAAAAATGAAGGATGAAAAAAATTTCACGTTTTATCATTTTGATATGCATACAAGTCAGTACATAGAACCCTTGTATCAGATATTCGTGTTTATTATGATTATATTTAAATATGTCATCTATACGAAATAAATTAAAAGTCAAAGTTTTTAAGTAATAATAAGCAATATTTTAATTTTATAATAATTGAATTTTATAAGTGACATTGTTTACTATGGAACTATATCGATTCAAAAATTAAATATTTTGTTTCTTGTGTAGATTTACACGTATAAAAACATGTATTGTGTTACCAAATGAATATTCAAAATTATATTTAGTTCCACATTTATATTGAAGAGAAATTTCAAATATTTTAAATCTTTATAGTTTCTGTCCTTGCAGTCAAGTCCTTAATCATAAGTCATAAGACATCTCTCTTGTTTCCTTATCGTTAAAGCAAAATATCCGCCAAAACTGATATTATAAGTTTAAAAGCATTCCAAACCGTTTTCCATCATCTTTTTCTCATTAATATCTCTCATTGAAATTTTTTTGCTTCAAATATGAAATATTCTACTATTGCCTATTAATGTATACACATTTCGTTCCATAAACCTAGGTCGTCTTGGCTGGTGGTACACTTCTTTTTGTTCATAGGAGAATATTAACAATACAAATTTATTTTACGGAAAATGATTTTTTACATGCTTCTATATTTTTTTTTTTTTTGCTTCTTATACGATTAATGTGTACATAGATATCAAAGAGAACAACCAAGAATAAAAAGGGATTCCACGATGATGTTCTATTATATTTTGGCAGTTATTTTTATCTGTTGCAGAAAATGATATAATATTATTATGCTATATTATGTACATTTTTTTTTTTGCTTATATTCATAGATTTTACCTAAAATGTGTCTTAAATGTAACAAAGAATCTTTGCTAGATAATTTCATTACTCATACATTAATTGGTGGAACGATTTTGAATTACAATAGACACATAAATATTCAATAGACATCATACATTGAATCCCTAACTTCGATAAATGCCACCAGCCAGTTATTTATAAAAAATAATTATATAAAACTAGTCAATTTTACAACCTCTGACGCTCAATCACAATTTCGTAAAAAAATCGGATTAAGTTAAAAAAAGTTTCTATTACCACTTTACAGAAAGAAAAGATAATCTTGCCTTTTTTGAAAAGTGATTTGAATTTCAGAGTTGTATGACAGCATTGACAGGTAGCAAAATCAAGCCATGATCAAACATTAAGATCGATACAATATTTAGAATTTGTGATCGTATTATATCGTATTTAAGGAGAATTTATATGTAAAATATGGTGATGCAAAAGTAATGGGCATATGGATTAATTTATGGTATTCAGATATAAACAGCATTCAACTACAAGTTTACTCTCATTATGCTGTTTCCTTCTAAATCACACATCCCATCACATTTTTTTTTTTTTTTTTTAAAGAACAAAAAATCTTGGAAGTATGAAGCCATAAAGAACAAAAAATCTTGGAAGTATGAAGCCATTGTATAAAAATTTACTATTAAAATGATAGATACTCACATGTAATATTTACAGTTTGTGGTAAAATGTAATGATTATTATGTTAATTGTTTACATGTTGTGCTCTTGATAATGGCTTGACTCTGGCGCGCACTTTAGATTATGTACATTTATATGTATTTATGTACAAAGAATGACTCGCACCGGCATTCGCATCACTTCATTCACTGAGTTCATTGTTTCATACTCAGTATGCCTTATTTACAAGTAATTCATATTTTCGCTGTTTTACTATGATGTTGATTGAAATTTTCAATTTTTTTCTATATAGACCACTTTTTTTTTTTTATCTAAATGTTCATAGCACTGTTTTGTCTTTATACACTGTTAAACACCCCAGACAATACTTTTCAAACTGAGATAACGTTTCACTCTGTGAGTTCAAAGCATAGCAATGTATGCCTTACATGTACGAGTCACACAATCACCATTTAACACTTTAAACTCTTTGAGCGCATATAAAACATCGTGACGATGTATCGAAACTACTTAGACACGTTACCCTCTTCCATGCTATTATTGTCTTCTGGTCTTGCTACATACAAACTTGGATCTATTACCTTTGGAATAGGTTTAATTTCTGTTCCAAGTTCTTGTTCGATACGATGTAAGTTAAAACGGTCTTCGTATGTGATTAGGTTAATTGCTATACCTAAGTGACCGAATCGTCCTGATCGGCCGATACGATGAAGGTATGTCTCTGCCATTTTTGGAAAGTCAAAATTGATTACGACGTTCACGGCTTGAACATCAATACCACGAGTAAACAGATCACTGCTCACCTATAAATAATATACATATAATTAATATATATATATATATATGTCTTTAATTTTTTATAAGTTAAAAATAAAATATTATAATCAAATTTTGATAAAATATTATTATACTTACCAAGTTTCTGCAAAGTCCTGCTCGGAAATCGTGAAACACGCGATTTCGGTGTGCCTGCGCCATTTTCGCGTGTATGTAATAACAGCAATATCCAAGATCTGTTATTTTCTTTGCAAGTAATTCAACACGTTGTGTTGAATTGCAGAATATTATACTTTGTGTTATTTGCAACTTGAAGAATAAAAAAATAAATTAAATAAAAACATTTATAAAAATACGATTTTTATTACGATTATTATTTAACTAAAACTTGCATATTATATATAGATTATATATATTTAAAAAAAAAATAATTTTACCTTGGAAAACAGTGTGTTAAGACAATGAACTTTTTGTCGTTCTTGTACAAAGGCATAATATTGTGTTACACCTTTCAATGTGAGTTCCTCCATTAAATTAATCTCATATGGATCTCTTAAATGTTTTTCCATGAATTGTTTCACTGTCAGGGGAAATGTGGCTGAATACAGCAGTATCTGACGTTCGTGTGGTAATCTAAATATATATATAACAATTAAGAATTAAAATATTATAATATACATAAAACTAAAAAATATTAATTTGTATAATTTTTTTTTAATAGTTATACCTCGAAATGACATGATCCAACATTCCTTTAAAATCTTGTGACAGAAGTTTATCTGCTTCATCCAAAACTAGAGTTTTACAATGATCCATATTTGCAACATTCTTATCCATAAGATCGAGAATTCTTCCTGGGGTTGCTATTATTACTTGCACTAAAAACAAATTACATTATAAGTAAACTTTTTTTAAAATTGTAATAATTAGTTTTTATATAAAGATATATCCAATACAAACCTGACTGGTAAATCCTCATAATATCATCCCGTAAGTCTGTTCCTCCAGTAGTTACCATTACTTTTATTTCCATATGTTTTGCCAGTTCAATGCAAATTTGTGATGTTTGAAGAGCTAACTCTCTAGTAGGTACAAGTACTAGTGCCTGAATCACATCTTTTCGTGGATCAACCTAAAATAACATATTAATAGTAATGTATTAGTATAATAAAATAATATTTATCAATGTAAGTATTCATATAAATATAAATATATTTTCAATTTTAATAATAGAAATAATGATACTAAAAAAATTAATAACATACAAACCTGTTCTAGCACTGGAATTGAATAGGCCCCAGTTTTACCAGTCCCATTTTTTGCACGGGCCAAGATATCTTTACCAGATAATGCAATGGGAATACTGGCTTCTTGAATTGGGGAAGGCTTTTCCCAGCCTTTTTCAAAGATGCCCATTAATAATTCTCGTTTTAGGCAAAATTCCTCAAATTCATTGCCACGAGTATCAGTAACATCCTAAAGATTTGTAAAAGCTTTTATTAATAATTTAAATATAATATAATATATATGTGTGAAATAATTGAATTTTTAATCAAAAATAAAATAGAATAGAAATCATAATATATAACTTACACTAGTTTTAATTCGTTTGTCCTTTGGTGGAATTTTTAATTTAGCTTTCCAACCCACATCGTCCATTTTGTCGATTTCTGATTTAGTATTCAAACCAGAATTTAGGACATGATTGGAATTTATATGTGTTTCTGTCATCATTTTGAAAATGATGAAATATTATCTATTTCCTGAAAATATATTTTTCTTTATAAATCAAATATATATACTATTTAAATTAATTAAATTCATATATTTTTTTATAATTTAAAAATACTATAATTTTTATGCAATTGAAATAAATTAGTTGCTTAAAAATATTAAATAATCATTACATTAAATAATAAAAGAAATTATTTAAATTTGCAAATATTGGATGGATTAAAATCAAACAGTTATATTTCTATAGAACAAAAGACAATATCAGTATAAGTGACCTGCTGAAAAGATCACAATAGGATGTAAACATCATAGGTATACTCATTTGAAGAATAGCAGTTTTTATGTACTTGAACCTTATAAGAAATTTTAACAGTTCGATATTGGTTACTGATATTATTCAGAAAAACTTCAAATTTGGAAGAATATATTATAATATATTTATATTGATTTCATATTATATAGATATATATATACATTAGAATATGATATATAATAAAATTAACATGAAAATAAATTTATGAATTAAAATACAATATTTTTAAAGAGAAATTCTTAAAAATTATGAATATAATAATACTTGAATTAAAAAAAAACAATTAATATAGATTGCAATAACATATACTGATTGCAATATATTTCATAATCTTTATATAACTTTTAAACAGAGACAAAAATTAAAATAAAAAATATTATTTATAAAATAAATAAAACAAAAATTATCAAATATATTATATCAATAAAAATGAGGGCAATTCGCTTATTTGGAAATTCTACCACCTAAGATATTGATAATATTTTTGATTATTATATTTATATGTACAAATTAACAAAAAAAAATTTTTTTTATTAATATTAATCACATATTGTTTATAGGATATGTTTTTGCTATATAAATTAATAAAGTTGGTTTAATCGATGTTGAGACATCGCGGTACTATCGTCAGACATACTTGTGAACTGGATGAAAAACAGAGTACAGAATAAAACCATCTGTGTAAAGTCAATTTTCCTTTCTATAGCATAAGTTCAAAATTTCTTTGAATAAACGTACACGATTGAATGAAAAATGAAATTTTCTTAAATATGAGATCATTCGTTTAACAAAATGTCTACAACTACTAAGAAACTTACCTTGAAATGGATGGATATCGATGCTGAGCTGAGCACTCGATTAGGAAACAACACGCCAAAATGGCCGTTCCAATGTCAAGTTTTCTTTGCAGTGCTTAACCGCCGCGTTCTTTTTTACGGAGCACTAACACGGATTACTTGCTCGGAAAGCGTATCGCGTAATACGCGGCACTATATTACGTTCTTTTCCGTTTGTAATATGAGACTAACGCACTGCGTCAAATGCGAGCGATAATTATTCTTCGTTGAACGTACACGACATGCGCCATGAAAGATTAAAAACACTCAGATCAGAAACCGTTACATTATTGCGCGCACTCTATCGATAACTACACTTAATTATGCGCTTTAAGGCGTATTTTCAAAATATTCCGAATATATTCGAATGTACATTAACGTATTTACTATTATGTTAACTGTTTCAATAATTCTATTACATAAAAAAGTAAAAATTCTAAAATAATTAATATTTATTAATTTTATATAAAATATAGCTAGTGAACAAAAGTATTATATAAAATTATTCGAATTTATATCAGTGTTTTATCCTTTTGATGATTCAAATATTTCTTTCGATATTATAATCGAACCATTATTATTTATGGAAAAAAACAATGAATTTATATTAAATCAATAATTTTAGCAATTAGAATACAAGAAATTTAATATAAAATCAACAGCATGAAAAAAGGTGAGAAAATGATTTTATAGTATAATTTTATACGATTTTATAATACTACATGTGCACATATATATATGTATATTAGAATAACAATACAGTGATATTTCGAATTCAAATTTTACAGTGTTAATTAACGAAATACATTTAATATATTACATTAGATATTTCAATATAAAAATATGTTTATACTAAAGAAATAAAATTTGCCTTCTAACTACAATTCTGTTCCCTCCTTTGAGATATTCGATATTTTCTACAAGCTTCGGGGCAATGTCGTTCCAAATATCGTCTTTGCGAGAATGCTTTGAAACATTCCCCGCATCGCCATTGCCATTGATGGTGATTCCGAGTCCTTTGATGCGCACGTAAATTTGATCTACAAAATATGTACGTTACACCATAGTCTCGTACCCACTAATTAATTCAAACATCGTAAAATTAACTCAGTAAAATTAACTTTATAATTTACTAAAGAAAATAAATAAAATAGGTATGTATAATGTATTAATATATTATATATTGCAATCATACGATTACGATATTTAATTATCATTTTTTTGTTCCAAATGTTTTAATGAAAAATTTTGATCATATATTCATTCATAAAATTCAAAAAAATTTTGTTATTATTCATAACTCGTATATATAATATATAAAAAAATATATAACTAAAAGAAGAAATATACCGATCGGCAAAGGATTTATGGCAGACCGGACATTCAAAAGGTCGTTCACCCGTGTGAAGACGCAGATGACCCTTCAAAACCCATGGACGATCGAAACTCTTGCGACAATAAGGGCAATAATGCATAGTTTTATTTCTCTTCCAATTCTGGGGATTCTCCACCCCTGTAGTTTTCATATTCCCTCCTAAATATTGATTCTGGGAATCAATCTGTTTCTTATTCGTAGCAATATACAAAGTCTGCGAGGTCGTTTGATTCTCAGTCCCATCGAACATCCTATTTAAATTCACAGCCACCTTGATCTCGTTATTACTCACGTTTACCGGATACTCTACTTTTTTCGCGTTCGAGGGCAATGGTATTTGCACTTTTTCCACCTTTTGTTCATTGTTCGTGTCCACCATTGTCTGATTGGTATTCACAGAAACATTTGGAGTGGTGGACGGTATCGTATTTTCAATTTCGGAAAAATTTCTCGAGCCCAATTCCACGTCTGCTATATTCAACTCCTTGTTCCAAAATATATTGTTCTCTTTATTGAAGGTGTAACGTGTTACAATTGGTAATCTCGAGGAGGTCCATATATTATTGCATTTCGTGGAATTGTCTTTAATCTGATGTTTTCTCTTCGCGTCGACCGACGATGGCGGAGTCCATGGTAATTCTGCCTCTACTAATTAGGAGAGAAAATCATTTCATTTTTTTTTCTTTCTTTTTCGAACGAATTATACGCATCATATTTTCAAATCGCTTAATTATGATTAAAAGTTATCGTGACTGGAAAGGAGACGTAAGATTCGTCATAAAAACGAGATTCATTTACTCCAACAACTTTACGAGTTGTACTTTTTTTTCCATAACCACGCCAAAATTTCACTGTCGTCCCTGAGTATACTGTAGCTATACTGTGCACAAGAGAATTGTGTCTTACCTTCGGAAGAATTATCGGTCTTCCTATACCTTGTCATCGATTTGATCAAACAACGAGGCATGTTTTCGCGACGATGAAAGGGCCACAGCTAAAAAAAGAACGAAATACGATAAAGTGTTGGCCGTTGCAACAGCGATGGAGCAAACCACTGTCACACGTTCGACAGGCATTTGTTACCTTCTGTGCCATCAGTACTGTAATGTCGAAAGATTCACCCATAGCTAACGCGAAAAAATGCGTACCTTCTATCACCATTAATGGCGATTTCTTTTCCCATTCATAATAAGAAATGAAAGATGATAAGGGAATTATCGAACGATAATCAATCGTTTTTTAATAGAATTATTTATTTTAACCATAAGAATATGTTTTTATTTTTTTTTTTTTTTATAAAATTATGATTCATGAAACGGAATTAATAATTTTTTTTATATGATGAGAAACCATGCGCAATTTGAAAAATAAATTTAACATGTTAAGAATATGGAGTATTTTTTTTTTTTTTTTTTTTTTTTATAAAATTATGATTCATGAAAGGGAATTAATAATTTTTTTTATATGATGAGAAACCATGCGCAATTTGAAAAAAAAATTTAACATGTTAAAAATATGGGGTTTTTTTTTTTTTTTTTTTTTTTTTTTATAGAATATCAGAATTAACTCTTGGAAATTAATTGTTATTAATTTTATAATTATCAATTATTATTAAGAAGTACAAAAGTAGTATCTTTAGGTACAGTTAGTTTAAAGGTCGAGTAAATTTGAACTCAAGAGTAACGTACAAACAGTCAAAACGGTTTGTGTACGTTTCTTATGACATTTATCTTAACAAGTAATTCTTGTATCATGCGAAATTTATGTTAATTAATTACTTTTAATTACGAACGAATTTATTTCTCAAAATTATTCATACTTATATACGTTGTTTTATATACAAAATTTAAAAAAATTTTTTTTTTACTCAGACATTTAATTTTACTTTAATTTTAACGCAATTATTTTCTTTATAGCAACTTTATATAATATCAAACGTACATATAAAAGTACATTTTACATTTAAAATTTAATCTCGTTTAAAACAATTTGAAATTAAGAAATTTGTATTAATGATGAAGCATTCATAACAATGTGAATATATGTATCTCGATATATTGTATATATGATATCTCAACCACTATATAATTTTAGTTAGTTCTGTGTAACGTCCTCTAGTGTTTGTATAACAGTCGTAGTGGTAAGGACTCGTGGATTTTGATACAACTTGTAGAAACTCCGTTAGGACAATTTAAATAGAGATATTAATTTCTATCTCGTTTCTTCACATATATTGTGAAGAATTTTTGTGAGTATATCGAATATCGATACTTTATTAAAGAAAAAAAAATTCATTCGAGAATTATAAATTTAACGTTATAATTTTGTTGCATTTATATTTTCAAAGAAATAAAATTATGAAGATAGAAAATACAATTATTAATAAATTATTTCTATTCAGAGTTATATTTATTATTAGAATATATGAAATTAAATATATATAGTATTTCATTTTTCTGCTTATTATTCATTTATGCATAATCTTCAAGATTTCATGTAAAGAATAGAAACTACAGAAAAAAATGATACCAATGCTGTTCAAATGATTTTGTAACGAAAAATGATACTGTATCACCCCTTGACGAGCGATTGATATTTAATTCTCGTATTCTACTATATCTCTTTATCAGCATTATTGAAACTTTTAAAGTCTGCCAACTTTTTTATATTGGCAATAAAAAAAAAAATTGCCATTACTCAATCAGTCTTCCACTAAAATAGTTTAACAAAATCGTATTATTTAAAAATAATTACGATTAGACACGAATTTTATTAATAATAATTTTTATTATTCAATAGAGAAATATTTTTAATATATAGCTTGATAGAATTTTAATTTATTAAATTTCAAGATTGATAAAATATATCAACAAGGTATTAATAATTCTCTCTTATTCAAATATTATATTATAGAAAGTTTCCAAAAAAAAAAAAAAGATTGATTCAAATTCGATATTTTAAAAGGTGATCTTACTTGAGAAAAAAATTATTTCAGATTATGTCTCGCAATTTATTCGTGTTCTTCGTTTTAATCAACTTCTACTGCTCGAGCATCGATACCACAGGTAAAGTCGGTTATACGAAAATCTATATCTGGAATTAAAGAAAATTGATGCATATTGATATCTCTTAAATTTAAATATTTCTTAAAAGAATTAAATGTGAATTTTTTATCTTTTTTTTAAACGAATTCTTTTTAAAAATGAAAATAACCAATAAATTGGTTGCATTCTAATTTAATTTCTTTTTTTTTTTTTTCTTTCATAATTGTAAGTTATCCGCTGCGATCCGCCGGATTTTTTCCATTGCAAGAACGGAAAATGTATATCATCTCTCTTCCGCTGCGATGGAGAAAACGAATGCGGTGACAATTCCGATGAAATGGATTGCAATGGCGTCGAAGTAATATATCAATTATCAATTTAAATACATTAATGTTTTAAATTGTTTGTAGGATAGAATTAACACAATAAATCCAATTTATAAATTTTTATTCTAATAACGATTATTTTTAATAAGTTAGTAATAAGCGATAATTTATATATTTTATATATTTTTTTTTTTAATAACAAAATTTTCTAATTTATCGTTAAAAGATCACAATAGATATTATATTTAAGTAATTTGACTTTTAATTTTTAAAAAATGGATGAAATTATTCCTTTTCTATTTTTAAAAAATACAATATTTCATCCAATATATATCTGGATTTATTCTGTAATTAAAATTCGATTCCTTTGTTTCAGACAAATCTTCAAATGATCCGTTGCACAACCGACGAGTTCCAATGTGCCGATCATTCTTGCATACCGGAAGAGAAATTTTGCGACGCGAAATCCGATTGTTACGACGGAAGCGACGAATACATTGGCTGCGTGAAAGAAGTAAGATCTTTTTTCAACGATATTGAATTTATTTAGAAGAACGATTCTTCTGTTAATACTTCAAGAATGAATAAAATATATAATTGAATAGATAGATATTAATTAATATCGTTTAAATATTCGAATAATTGTAAATAATTTGAAATTATGAATTGAAGAGATGTTTATCACGATTAATAAATAATTTTCATTTATTCATCAATATTTCATCATTTTACAATTGATTAGATTATTATTAGATAGGAAAATTGTAGGATAAACTCTTTTCTTAATATAAGTATATTTGAAAATTATATAAAAATATAAATGTTCATCTGGTTGATATTTTTTTTCTATTATCACAGCTAAAATGCAACAACCATTTCCGATGCAAAGATAGCCATTGCATAAGAAACGAATGGGTTTGTGACGGTGTACCAGACTGTCCTGATAAAAGTGATGAAGAAAAATGTGGTAAATTTTTTGTGTATCAATTTTTTGAATGATATAATAAGATATAAATTTTTATATGTATTAATTTTTTGAATGTTCACTATATTTTACAAGTTTTATTATTATTTTCCTATTACAATTTAATATTCCATAGAGAACAATATAATATCCATCGAGAAATGCAATAATGAGTACGATAAATATTTATGCAAGAATCAAAGATGTATTTTTTTGAATGCAACCTGCAACGAGAAAAATGATTGTGGCGATAACTCGGATGAAGATCTAGATGCGTGCAAAAAGGGTAAATGATAATAATAAAAAAAATATTATTTCTATCAATCAATGAATGATGATAATTTTTATATTTGTGATTTGCAAATAAATTTCAAAATTACTTTAAATTGTAGCCGATGCATCGTGCAAATTGACAGCAAAATGTCAACACAATTGCAGGAAAACACCTAAAGGTGCTCAATGTTCGTGTCGATCTGGTTATAAATTAATGAATAATCAAACTTGCACAGGTAAAAGTTGAAAATTGATTAAATATATTTTTATTCAGTTAAATTTATGTATAAATATTCAGATCTAATTTGGATTTGCAAAAAGATAAACAAATAAAATATATGAAAATTATATGAATATTACAGATATAAATGAATGCGAGAATTATGGAATTTGTGATCAACAATGTATCAATAATGCTGGATCTTACACATGTTTCTGTCAGCCTGGTTACATTATGCAGGATGACAAGAAAACTTGTAAAGCTGAAGGTAAATAATTACAAAAATTTAATTTTAATTTATTATATAAATTTTCTATTCCATAAAAAAATCATTTATATTTCTAAAAATTTATTTAAAAAAAATACAATTGTTTTATTTGTTATATAAAATTTCATCTATTTGGAATTAAATTACCCTTCATTGATTATCCGTAGGTGGCGAAGCTACTATGGTATTTTCAATTAAATCAGAAATCCATGGCTATTATCTTGATTCTCAAATATACTTCCCGATATCTCGAAATTTGCAACATGCCGTCGCTGTTTCTTTGGATGCAAATTATATATACTGGTCCGACATCGAGAATGGAAACGAAGCAATAATCAAAAGTTTGGAAGATGGTTCACAGCGAGAAATTATTGTTACAACAGGTTAAATTATACTAAATTTACACAAGATTAGATTTAAGATTAATTCAATTTTTATCTACTACACTTTATTGCAGAAACAGACTTCTATATTTATACATTTAACATGTGTATATTCTGTGAAATTTAAATATAAATTATTATTATAATTTTTATTTTTTTATATATTATATTTTTTATATTTATATCTTTTAATATTTTTAAGGTTTGAATAGTCCTGATAATATAGCAGTAGATTGGGTAACAGATAATATTTATTTCACGGACAGTGGTTATATGCATATTGGTGTTTGCAACAATGATGGTTCTTACTGTACTGTTATAATCAAGGAAAGAAGAGACAAACCAAGAGGCCTTGCTTTGTTACCATCCAATGGGTAAGTACTTAATTTCTTAAGAAATTCTATATCTTCATCTTTTTAAATACATTAAGAAAAATATGATATGAAATATTTAAATATATAATAAATAATATAATTGTGTATTTCAAGTATATTTTATTGGACTGAATGGGGCATGAATTCAAGCATATTAATGGCAGGAATGGATGGTAAAAATATCACCGTATTAGTCAATCAAGATTTAGAATGGCCAAATAGTTTATCTATTGATTATCCGAACAATAGATTGTATTGGATAGATACTAAACAAAAAGTGATCGAATCGATACAATTGGATGGTACAGATCGAAGGGTACATTTTATTTTTTTA